GAGAGAGAGAGAGAGAGAGAGAGAGAGAGAGAGAGAGAGAGAGAGAGAGAGAGAGAGAGAGAGGATAGCAGTTCAGACTAGTAGCGTTTAACGGGAAGCTTACCAGTTGGAATGCCGGGGTAGTTTCGTTTCCAAATGTGCTGATAAAATACTCGTACATTCCAGCGTCCGTGTGACGACCGATCTGATCACGCGATTTACTATCTGGAACACATTCGATGACGCCACGCTAAAAAAAGGTGAAGGGAATCACAAGGTGAGTAAAGTAATGAATTGGTTTATTCATCCTAATGGATGCATTGGCAACGAAAACATTGGGTGCGGAGAAGGAAAAAAGACAGGATTTCCCCTTGGGCGACTTATGACACAACATGGACAAGATGCGAGTTGTTTCGGGGAAGCAGCACAGAGGATTGCCAAGCAACTTTTCCTCTGTTGGCTCCTGGGAAAATGAAAAGCTCATTGATTAACAGAAATTATCCAGCAATTGTAGCACGGCAAGTAGGAATGCTCACAGTTAGACCAGTTGTTCAGTCAGCCGACCGGCAGAATTCAGTCTATTCTACGTAATACTGATTTGATATCGCCCCCCGTCGTTATTTGTTGTTTGAAAAAGCTGATGCGAATGTAATGCAAATCTCAATGAAAAGAAATGGTTTCAGTTTTCACAGAGCGACGAACCCGCACACTACAAGGAGAACGAAGTGGTCATCAATCAAACTACCAAAATCTCGGGGAGGATTGTGTTTCAGATATCGAATCTGAGAGTGTCAACCATAATTTCCAGCATTTATCGTTTCAGAAATAGAAACTAACACGGTTACCGAACAAACAAGGATTGGGAGCATACAAACGGTGACAGTAAATGAGGAACTTACTCCCGGAGCAGTGGCCACAACTTTGTACGGATAAACGAACAATTCCAGACCGCAATCACGGAAAATGCTCTTGAATACGCGTAACACTTGAAGAGCCAGGATATCCTGAAAGCGAAAATTAGAGTAAAATTGGAAATCATAATTGGGAGCAGAATCGATTTACAATAATCGGTATTTTTGCAATAGCAAGAGAGCGCATCAAATTGCACACAAAGAAGGAGTAGAAAAGAATGGATATCCAAAAGGAAAAGGTAAATGCGATACAGCTACAGTTACACCATTTTGCACATTGAAGATGCAAAATACAGACCAAATACAACTGAATGTTCATTCAGGTGATCGGAATAGCTTACAACCTCACTTAGCAGCGCAATGGTGTCTAAAAGCTCTAGACGAGGATAATATTTATCTCGTAACAGATGGAAACTACTATTCCCTCAGGGGCGTGTCTAAAACCATACCCATTAATTACTTGAAAAGAAGGTAACCTAGCAAACAGTGGGTTTTGTGAGGTACTTCCTGATAAAGTACATCGGTCGCGACTAAGGCTATTCATGTAAGCAAACCGCAACATTGGTGAACAAATTTAGGCCATACTTGAAAGGGAGACAGTGAGCGAGTCCGGCGAGAGAGACTAAGGTTAAGAAAGGCCAAAAAGTAATGGATTCACCAAGCAAATGCCTCTTCTGGGTTTAGAAGAAAAATGAAAATACGATCAATGTAGCTTCGATCAAGTCTAGAACTAGCATGATTCCTTCGAAAGCATGGTCGGGGGTGGGTGTTTCGGGTTGCGGCTGGTCACGGTTCCCTTGCACTTCGCGAAATGCTCCCATACGATCGAGCATCTCAAATAGCTTCTGCTGAGGAAGCCCTATTCACTGCATTCTCGTGGAGGAGATGTTTTTTCATCGAAGGGAGGCCGAAAATCCAATATCCAGGGCTATTGCTGGGTCGATGAACCACCGGCAGTTCACCTAGGGGGGTTGGCTAAAAATCCGAATTGCGAGCCAACCAACCAGAAACACTTTCCTGGTCTTGGCAGTGGCTAGCTGCTTGATTTGGCACCGACTTGTATTGGGCACCTTGGACGTTTGATCCCGTCCAAAGGGCGCATTATCCAATGAACTAGACAACGAGCCTCAATGGATAATGGTTTTCGAACCCCGCCCAGCTGCCTTGCGCGTCAGACTTTGGCTAGCCCAAGGCTTCGGTTGTGAACTCCCCTAGAAAATTCACTTAACTGGGCCGGAGAACCTGGCAGTATTCCGCCCACAAGCAAATCACAGAGCCTTATATTTTTAGAGATTATTTTACCATGATTTGTAATGTTCGCATGCAACGGATAGGATCTGGAACGATGTCGGTTACAGCAGAAACTAACTTTTCTGTGACATGACTTTACACTAACCCCTAGGAGAACTAAACGGTATGAATTCCATTCATTTTAGTGTATACAACGCTTCGATATGTAATAATAAAATGAGAATTAATAGTGGAATGAAGATTGCCGTTGTTTACAGTCCATGAGGCACAGAATAGGAGTCAGTGGCGAGAATGCTATACAACCTATCTGTTCAAATCCTGAGTCCCGCAAAAGTAACAAACTAACACGCACAAAACAGAACCAAAAGGCCGTATGATGAAACATGAAACGAAAAAAACGATTGTTTTTCTGGTTTTCTTTTATTGCTTGTTTTCCACAGTGCTCTTTTCTGTTCACGAATGCCACTGTTTTCTACTGTGCTTGCTTTGACACAATGCTTGTTCGCAACCAACCATACAACGGTTACAAAAATAGGTAAATTAATCAGGCAATTTCACCAGAGATTACTTACTTGCCGCACATCATCACCCACTTTGAATATACACGCTTGCATGTACGGTTGATTTTCGTTACCCATCGGTTGCAATTGTTGTTTGTCCGTCATTGTAGTTCGAAGCTGAGATTGTTGAGTAGTGAGTAGAGGCTGTCGGGAGCGAACCCGTGCACCGACAGTGCCGGATTTCTGGGTCAAACGCAGATTGCTGATATTGGTCACACGGGCTTGAAAACTGTTTCGGCGTTTGGTCTTTGACGGCGGACTGTAGGAGAAATGGCAATAAAACGGTCACGACAGATTCAAACAAGCAAAACATGTGAACCATCTGATATAAACCGACGGTAAAATGATACCTTTCGGAAAAATAAGTTTACTGCATATCAAAGTTCAAAGTTTTATTATGGGAATAGCTTACAAGCTGGTGCTTCTCTTGTCCCATAGGATGTTTACATAGATGAATCGTTACACATCAAAAAAGGAGTCACATAGGGATCCGGGTAGGAGATAGA